GTAATAAACATGCTCTGCTCTTTGCTTCAGGGTATTGGCCTGGGCGCACTGCTGGTCCTCCTCTTCCTGGTTGTCTGCTTCTCTTTACTAAAGTGGTGCAAGTGCTGCAAGAAACGGTCAAGATGCTCTAAGTATTGTAAGAATTGCTCAAATTGCTCTGACAAGCGCAACAAATGCTCAAGTTGCCGTGAGTTAAACAAGGAACACTTCAGTTGCTCTGACGTCTGCAAAGAATGCTCTAAACACTGCCAGAAATGCGCAGATTGCTCCAAGTTTCGCAAGGAACCGTCAAATTGCTCTGACTGTTGGAAGAAATGCTCAAGTTGCTCTAGCCAGCGCAAGAAATGCTCAAATTGCTTTAACTGCTGCAATGAATGCTTAAGTTGCTCTGACTTCTGCGAGAAATGCTCTAAATTCTGCGAGAAATGCTTAAATTGCTCTGAGTTTCGCAAGAAATGCTCAAGTTGTGTTGACTGTTGGAAGAAATTCTCAAGCTGCTTTAACTGCTGCAAGGACTGCGTTTACATTGATGGAGATGGACCCTATGAGTTGATCATCATACAAGAAGAAGAAAATGTTGTGAATCAGATTTTGAAAGAAAGAGCCAAAGAAGCTCTGAAACAAAAGGTTCAAGAAATAATGAATAAGAACAAGAGGTACAAATATATTAACTACAGTGATGCTGCCCAACAAATTATCGATCAACTGTGGCTACAAGAAGAAAAGGTAACCATTATACATCTGTATTCTTTTAACTAATCTGAGAACAAAAGCCTCTCATCTTAAAGCAGAAATAAAAAAATCTTTTTATTCTCTGTTAAAGACAATAAATGGCTTCAAATCAGAGGAAACTTCAGCTCAACAAAATGATTTAGAATAGAGATTTTTTTTTATCCTCTGAAAAGTCAGACATTTAAACTCACTGAGATCACTGATCTTTAAAGAATCTGGTAAAACCCAGATGAAGGTATCATGGCTATGTAAGCTGCTGATTGGTTAGTCCCAACAGCTGACTGTCAGTACCACTGGTTCCGGTTCTGCTCCGGCCCAGAAGTCGGTTCTGCTAGAAGAACCGTTCTGGACATGTTGGATCTCTGGGCTTCAGGGAATCTGATGAGGAGCTGCTGACGTCTTCCTCAGATGGATCCAGAGTCTGGATCCATCTGCAGCAGGAAGCAGCTTCACTTCCTCTTACATGTGAATCTGTTTCCTTCCCCTATCAGATTCTCCTTCTGGGTTCAGAGCAGATTTCTCTGCTGTTTTCTGTGATCAGTAGCAGAAAGTAACAGCTGTATACCTCCATGATGCTGCAGTGAAGCTGAAGCTCTCTGGTCTGATGACTTTCTTGAGAGAATTTCAGGATCAGGTTTATTTGTATATGTCGGCCTGAAGGCAGTTCAATGCTGTGACTTTAACGTCTCTTCCTGCGTCCTCTCTGTGCGTCTGTGTTCTCGGCGGGTTGGTTGGTTGGTTGGTTCAGACGTGTCCGATCAGGTCCAGAACCGGATGAAGCTCCTTTACTTTACGACGCGCCCAGACATGTCAGTAACAGCCTTCACTTTGTCATGATCTGGTTTTAGACCCTCAGCTCTGGGTAACTGCTGCATGAAAACAAACTTCTTAAAACAACCAGCAGAGCTTCACCTGGTGGCCCATCGGACCTGTAGTACCGTCTAAACATCAGGACACAGTGACAGTTTTAATAAATATGCAAAGAGACATTATAAGAGTTACATCCTGTACATTTAATAACAGGAATAATGAAGATCATAAATGACATGCTGCCCCCTGAGATGAATGAGCTCAGCACCGCCAACTACCTCTGAGTTCAACTGGACCAGAACCAAGACAAAGTATCCCAGCAGTGAAGATCCCATCACCAGAGAGCCTGGCTCCATTCATGCTGCCACTTTCAGACACATGGGACGTTGTTCCAGTAACTCCAACCCACTTTTCCCCAGAAAGGGAAGTCTCTAAGGGTGCGTTTACACTGCAGCCTGAAGTGACTCAATTCCGATTTTTTTGACGTAATGCGACCTGTATCTGATCTTTTCATGGCAGTGTGAACAGCACAGGTCGGATTCTTTTTCAAGTGTGACCCACATCCGATACGTATCCGATTCATATGTGACCTAACGTTCAGGTCGCATTCATCTGAACTGAACGTCACTGATTCTCAACAAATCTCACTATTCCGCGACCTGATACGCGCAAGTGGGAAGAAAAACAACAACCATGATGGATTATATGAGGATTAAGTTGTTAATATGCTGCTCTGGTTGGACAACAACTTCAAATATATAAGCTAAGCTCCACCGTTAGCCTCCATGTTTACTTCCGCAAACACTGAGGTCTTCTTCTTTTTATGGCAGTTGGCAGAACACTGAGAACGCTGACGCTATTGCGCCCTCTACTGCGCATGCGGGACACTTTCTGGTCGTTGCCCGTTTACACTGCAGAACACATACAGGTCGCATTTACTGGCAGTGTGAACGGCCCCGGCAAAAAAATAGGAATTGAGTCACTTCAGGCTGCAGTGTGAACGCACCCAGAGAGAACAGAGCGACCAAATCGATTCTGGACAAAGGATAAATTTCATTTATGAAATTCAGCTCTGGAAAAACATTTCTGCTTTATTTTTTTTTCTGTTAGGAGAACAAAAAAGAAACTTCCGAAAATAAGCATGAAGAGTTAAGTCTGTCTCCTTTCTAGACATCATCCATTCATCCAGTATTTTAATTTACAGCCTTCAGGAAGTAAGAAAGACAAAGAAAACAACAAAACAGTTTGGTTTGAATTAACTTCTGACAGGCAGAAAAATGTAGATTATAATCAGTGTAAACATCTGGTTTCTACTGTAAACATACTGATCTAACCTTGAATAGTTTCATTATTATGGATCTCTTTTCTGAATCCAGTCAGACTCCATGGTCTCCGAGTCGCTCAGCAGCTGAACGGATCCCTCTGAATCTAGAATCACAGATCTATGACAATACACACCCTGACATTCTCATTTCCTGTCTGTCGATGGCGGTGAAGGCGGCAGGAAACCAGGAGGAAACCTGGTTCTGTCAGGCCTCCCAGGGCAGCAGAGGCTACTATTAGTAGCTTCTGAATGGATGAATGTAGGGGAGAGCTTTGGAGTCCTCTGGACTGGATTAAGACTGTACAAGTACAGAGACCTACCATGTTACAATGAAAACATGGAGACCAAAGGCTGAATAATCAGATTCAAAACTAAAGAAACTAAAACTGATGATTTAATTAACCTGCTGACATTCAAACCAGAAACTAAAACAATCCCTGGTTTAAACGTTATTATTCTGTAAGCAACAAACTCAATAACTGGACTTTCTCTGTTCTGTTTAGGGTCCTAGTGGAGACCAGAGCAATGATCCATCAGCCGACCCGGTGAGCCAACACACAGACACCTCCATGCATGAAGTCCCTGTTTACTTGAACTAGACACCAGCAGGTTTCCTGATGTGGAGGCAGAAACTGGAGTACCCAGAAAACCCCACATGAGCAGAGCTCTGGGATTTGAACCATCAACCTTGTTGCTATAGCAACAGCTGTAACAACAACGTCACCATGAAGCCCATCAACCAGTCCAGTTAATCAGGACGGGTCAATTTATCCGACCGTCCTTACAGGTTATTATCTGAACTACTAAATGTTGATCTTCTCCTTAAATTTGTAAAATGTGATGTTGAATTAAAACAACTCTAGAAATATAGATCTAGATTGATTCCTACAAAGCAGCATAGATCCAAAACCAACTTTTTGTTTTCTATATTTTGCAACAATTGTGAGAGTGAAAGAGTGAAATCCTGAAAATCTGTTAAAGTGGGATTTAGAGGACATGTCCTAGTCAAAGACCACACCAAGGCTCCTCACAGTAACTCTAGCTGTAAAGTGATAGTTATGGAAACTTCTGGATCCATAAACAGATTCATGTTCCTGATTTAAGGTCAACAGAAACAGCTGATTGTTTTTAACTCTGAGAACCAGAATAATATCATTTATCATCTATTTATATCTGACTGAGGAAAAACTCAGCATCTGTTTGGTTTTCCGGTTTCTATGAAGTTTCTTCTAAAAGATTTAATACGTTTCAGGTGGAGCAACTTTCAGAGGGTCAGAGGATGAACAGCAGCTCATAAACCCTCAGCAACATGTTAAACTTTGGTTTTTGTTTTCCTGACACCAGAAATCTATTTACATTTGGGAAACTTGGGTTCTGTGGTGTCAGGGGTTAAACACAGCCCACATATGGAGGTTTAGTCCTCCGCCGCAGGTTCGATTCCCGGCCTGGTGACCTTTACTGCAGGCCTTCCCTTCTGTCAATTATCTATCAAATAAAGGCCACAACAGCCAATGAAATAAAAATTATAAGAAAATATCAGCAAAACAAATATTCTTTTAGAGTCAAAAATATAAATTTCCAGGGTCTGACTGGATGTCATATGAAAACAGATTTTTAAAACATGAATAATATTTTACATTTAGGTGATGGTTTATATGTTTTATTTCATATTAGTATGTTATATATTCTTTAATTTTGCAGCATATAAGGGCAGATAAAGTTAAAACCAGATAAAAGACATTATAAAGACATTAAATCAAATTAAACTTTCTGTTTTAGATAAATTAGGATTATTAAAATGATTTATGTTTGTTAAATAATTGAATAATGAAAGAAATTATTGTTCATCTGTCTTTTACAGCAGATGTTGAGATGCAGAAACAAGGTTTTGGTTTCTGACGTCAATCTGTCCTGTGAGCTGATTGGACTAAAAATCGATGGTTAGTCTGTCTATGTTATTCTGTCTGTTTTAGCATTAGCATTACTGTTAGCATTAGCTTTAGCATTAGTTTTAAGGACGGGGTTATGACCCTTTAGTGGATCTACTATTTTCTTAAGTTTTGTTTGGGTTTTTCAGGCCACGTGTCCTAGTTAAAACCTGAATACCAACTCTGTTGGCATCGTTCATTCGTGTGATCCTGAAGGCTGCTCGGTCAGCTGAAGGGTGTTGATGTTAACTGTCTGGATCATGTCAGGGTGACCTTTGACCTCCAGGTTACTGAAGAGTTTATAAATGATTCTGCAGCAACTGGAGCTTTTACAGATTTATTTAGCTCATTTTCTATAGAGTTACTGGATGGAGTGGCTCGACCCTTTGACCTTTTGACCTCAGGCTGTGATTCCACATGTTGAAGAAACGCTTGGCCTGCTGCGGGATGCTCAGAGGGACACAGATCTGTCCTCACATGGACGGCGTCCCTCAGCATGAAGCTGGTTGTTGAAATGATTTCAGTAATTCAGGGAAAGTTTCGTCTGATTTAATGAAATTATGATTTTTATCTGGTTCATCTGTAAATTGTTTGGTGTTGATTTTAGCTTTAGGAGGGAAACAAATCAATATTATGAACATTTATTCTAAATGCTGTAAATATTCAGTAAAGTTTTAATTCAATTTCTTAAACTGTTCATTACAGGATTTATTGTGATCTGAATATGGTTGCAGAGTTTTGTTGTCTTTGTTTATAAACATAAATCATTTACAGTAAAGTTTAACATTTAATGTCTGCTTGTCAATTTTGATTAATAAAGAATAAAGATTATTGACTGAAGTTTGTTACTGCCGTCTGACTGATAGAAATATATATTTATAATATTTATAATCAAACAAACTGATGATCATAAATATGTGGTTATTCAACAAGACATTCTGCTAAATTAAAGTATTT